CGCGACTTACCAATTTGCAGTGCAGATAGCTTCTTCAAAAAGTTGGTACACTACCTGGGCCCAGAGGTCATCGAGGAGTCGACTACAGGCGTCTTCCAATGGATCTCTAAAGTGTATCAAATCATATTGCTGGACAGTAGTGGGGAGCTCCGTGATTTCACAAAAGATGCTATTCATCAGAACCATCCTGCACTCCAGACGTTGCGTGATCTATTTGCACATTGCATCCAGACATTCGGCAATCCAGGCTTCCCCGTATGGGCGGAGCTGGTGGAAACACCTGCCGCGCCACGTGGCCCAGGCGCGGGGCAGGACATTCCCCAGGATCCAGGCAGCATTGCATCCGCAGCTCCAGATCAGGAAACCACGGTACGGATCATAGCCGAACAGAAGGGAATCAACCGCGAGGAGGGTGACAACGAGCCCGCCTTGCAGGAAGAGGCTAGCCGTATCCGTACAGACAGCGTATGCCATGGTGATACTGATGACGCGGACAACGACACGACCGAGCGCGTAGGACTGCCAGGGGAAAGATTGTCTAGGATCGAGATCGGGGGAATGAGCAGATCGATCGCTTCCCGACCGAACGCCGAGATCAACCGCGATGCCATGGATCAGATCGGCCGCAGTCTTGCTCGTGGTCGGGAAGCTCGCTGGGGATCTCGTGAGTACCTCACGATTGACGGAGCCACATAAGATATTCAGCATGATATCGCGCGACGTCGGAATTGCGATCGCATCTTATCCCAAGGGATCGTTACAGATGAAGGTACCCTTGTGACATCTGCTGGCAGTACACTGTTGCCGTAGGTGCTACGGGTAAAAGTACCGCTGTCGAGAGCGACCTGGCATACCTCCGGAAGCTGACCCACTGGATCAAGACGACGCTCTCCCAGGACGACATTACGAGGTACATGAGAGACGGAGCGCAGGTCATCATGACGGGCAAGCGCTCTATTCCAGGCAATGAGAGAGACGTGCTGAGGAGACTGGCCAATTCCGCTAGGAAGAGGCATGATAAGTGGGTCGCTTCTGGCTCCCCTCCTGCACACATGTGCAGATTGATGGGCGAGCGTGAAGACGACAGACCTCTATACCATCCATTTGCCAATCTCATTCAGCGCTTTCTCAATGATTTGAAGTTCCACCACCAAATGACAGGCGCTCGTGTCAATAAAGGCAAGAACGCCTATACCATTGAGGATATGCGCGGCGCCTGTGAAATCCTCGAGACCAGCGTCAGGACTGGCCAGGCTGGTCGGAAGAAGTGGTGGTTGAACGCAGGCAGACTCGACCGAAGCACGCGGCAGGCGCGCGGACTTGTCACGATTGCCCTTCCCAGAGGGGATGGCACCCGTGAGGGAGTCACGCAGCGCAAGCTTGCCGCGCTTGTTTATGTTGAGCCCGCTTTGGGTTCCACTGACCAGAGGGGGGTTGATTTAGGGATGAGAACCGATCCGATCGAACCTGATACACACTCCCAGTACTCTGATGATGCCATGGAGCCACGCATGCCGCGGCACCCGCCGCCGCCGCCGCGCCCCGCTCCTGGCGACGCTGCAGGGTCCAGCGCCTCTGGCGCGCAGGACTACATGCCCGCGGGGCCGCGCGGCACTGCAGCGCAGCGGCAGGGCAGCGACGACAGCCGCAGGCCTACGACACCTCCCCGCGCCAAGAGGGCGCGCATGGCGGAGGACTACGCTACATGGTGGCGCGACGAGCTGGAGGACAGCCAGTGGGGCCCCAGATACTGGAGCTCCTACATCACATGCTGGATATACATCGCGGACAACGACGACGAGTTCGTCTACGTCCGCGACATCCAGTACAATGAGTGGTTCCGCCACTGGATCCCGAGGACTCCTTGGGGGACCTTCAAGACGAGCTACGTGTCGCACGATGGCCACAGGATGTGGGGCCGCAGGTTCTACGAGAGGGGCGACGCGTAGTAGAGTCGGCCGCCAGGCCCACCGCTCGAAAGGCTTGAACTTCATCATAATAGAAGTTCGCCTTGACTTCACTATCTAGGACAAGTGGCCACACATGCGCACATATTTTGCGATAGCCAAGGCAGCCTCCTAAGGGGCAACGCCAACGAGAATCGCCAAATTCAGAATTTATACATATGCAACTTTTCGTGTTCATCAACACGACTTTGCGTCTGGCCAGACATTTGCTTTGATATTTAGATGTGTTTCGTGGCGCGATCGCGTTCATCAACACGATCTCAGACTGTATTTGTTCGGCTTCCTCTTTCGACTCTGCTTACATTGCGTTGATAATGATCTGACGGCCAGCTCTCTACAGACAGCCGGTGGCAACACCTGCCTCGCTTAGGCGAGGCAGATTCTGATGTTGCTTTAACTTGCTCAGATCCTCTTTCTCCGCCCACCCGTGTCTCATTCTTCTCCGCTTTCGAATGCCGAAGCGTTTTGGGGGGCGCGCCGAAGGGGCACCAAAACGTGCTTGGCGAAGAAATAGGGACCCTGGGTGTTCCTTCTTACCTTGCCCTGCAGCTGAGGCTATACTGATCTTGCGCTCAGCTGCCTGCAGACTTGAGGATTGAAGGAGTAAAAGGGTGACGGATTATTTTCCTCTGTTCCCGAGTCCCACCCTCACGGGCGGGATTCGGGACGGGGTGTGTGAATAGAACCCGTGTAGTACCCTCATATAGTACTCCTTATCCTCACCTCTCCTGCGCCTGGCCGTTTGGGCTCAGGTATTGGGACAGATCGATCGGACCTTCGATCGTGCAGGAGGGGGAGACATCCATCTATCCCTCCTTCCCTCTACCAACGGATCAGGGGTTCTGCACCCTTGCACTTCAACCCCATTCACAGATTGAAGACAAAACGATGGAACACGAAGGCACAACGAAACAGACAAACACCGTTTAGGTTCAGCCTTGTCCTCTTCCTCCTCCCCCTGCCTCCAGCGGACCGTTCCTCCTTCCAGCCAGCTTCTTCGAGTGGCTTGAGGAAGCATTTCTCGGTCGTTTCGGGAAACCCATGAAGCTTTTTATGGAGCTCGTTTTCGCGGTGTTTTGGAGAACCTCCTGGGCCGCGTGGCCCCCCCTGGGATGTTGGGGGTTATTTCAGGCCGTTGTGTTGGACCAGGGGGTCCTCCCAATCGATGAAGCCATTGTAGTCGTCCTCGAAATGCCCTCGGGCCATTTTGGCTCGCCCTGGGCCGTTTCGGGGGCCCTCTGTAGGACCTCCGTCGAAATCGTGGAAAGCGATTCACGGAATCACGCGACGTGGGTATCATTTGTCGTGCCGGTTTTTCGCGATGGATTTTTGGTCCGCGTTGGGGCTCTATGGGGCGCACGCGCGTAAATCGCGAAATCGCATTCGGGGCCGCCGGGTGGTGGTTGGCAATCGGGCCGCGTGGTCGAGAGGCAGACATTATCAGAACGGCGCCATTTACACATAGTTATATCTCTCGCCAGGCTCAGCCGATGGCCAGTCGCCGCGCCCGGGCCCCGCCTATCAGCGCGCCGCACTTCAAACGGTACCTGTCGCCGGCGAGGGTCGGCGGCGGCAACGACGGTGCGACGATGGCGGCGGAGGCGAAGACGACGGCGACGACGGCGGGAGCGGCGGCGGAGGGGACCATGACGACGGCGGCGACGACGACGACTGCGACTGCGATTGCGACGACGGCCCGTCAACATGCCTCGATCTCCTTTGAGCGCCCTGGGAAGCCTAGATATTCTTCGGCCAGTGTGGACGACGGCGGAGGAGACGGCAACGACGATCGGAAGGATTTCGAAAGGGGAGGCATATGCGAGGGATTGAGAAGGAGATAGGTCGACAACCCAGCTGACGGCGAGCGCGACGACGACGACGAAATGACGACGATTGACATCGGCGGCGACGCCGACGATACGATGGGCCACGACGTCGGTGGACTACGAAGACTGACGAACGGCTACGACGACGACGACAAGCGAATCTCGAGCGGGGAGAGGGCTGGCACTGGGCGGGCACTAGGCGCGCGGGCACCTTGCGACGCAGGTGCAGTATAGAAGGTCTGCCGGGGCCCCCCTCGCCCGAAAGGGCCCCCCTTGCATGGGCCCCCGCTCGTGAATTCCAAGCAATTTCGCCATGGGGGCCCCGGCGGCCCTCCCAGGGCTTCCTGCGAATCCCCCAGGCCCCCCATGGGGCCTCCGAAAGGGCCCCCAGGGGCCCGCAGGGGGGTGGGTGGGAAAATAAAACATCAAAAACAAGCCCAACGAGCAGGGCATCCTGGAGGTCAGGGCCTCTACCCTAGCTAATCACGATCATGGAGGTCAGCGCCGGCGGCTGTCATCGGCGGCGGCAGGCGCTGATGCAGTTGGGCGGCGGTCTGCTGGGGCCGCGCGTGCTTGCAGACGCCTCTCCCGTCCCGCGGACCCACAGAGAGGGAAGGCTTCGATCTCTTTGCGATGGAAAGCGTGACGTTCCCACACCAAAAACCGATGGACGTCCTGGGGTCTTAGGGGTGGTTTTCTTGTGGAAGGTTCCGTGTGGTCGGGCCCCTAATGTATCTATGTTTCTTGGAGTTCGCGAGGATTCGGGGGGTTAGGGGTGGTCTACATCAGCTGCGCCTCGTCGAGGGCGTTCGGGGGTGCCGGGATCGTCCCGAACGGCCGCCGGGGAGCCGAGTTCTGCTTCGAGGGCCAACTTGGCATCGCTCGGGTGTGTGCCTTTTTACACTGGCGGGGACCATCGAGGAGCATCCCAGATCACCTGGTAGCAGAAGCACGCACGAATCCGAATAATGCACGGGGACTGGACGTCCGAGCGATGGCAAGCCAAGCGGGGCACCGTTGGGGCTTCGGCCCTCGGTCCTCGAGCGGTCCTCGATGGCCCGAGGCAGTGGGGGGTCGACGGCGCGCGCGCGCGCGCGGGGCCGCGGCGCTGCGCTGCCGCGGCGCTGCGGCAGCGGCGGCGCTGCGGCAGCGGCGGCGGCGTAGCGGCGCGACGGCGGGCAGCGGGCCGTCGCCGCGCGCGTGCGAGGCGAGAGCGCGCCGCTGCCGCTGCCGCTGGCGCCGCTCTCCGCCCACGCGGCCGCGGACTCCGCCGCCAGCACCGCGGCCGGCTCTGCGAGCACCGCCGCGAGCTCTGCCGCGGGCTCAGCGCCCGATGGCTGCCCGCCCGTGTTAGCGCGCGCAGGGAGCGGGCGCAGGGCGCGGGCGCCATCGCCCGCCCGAGGCGCCCCCTGGTCGGGCACCTCGGGAAGCTGCGCGAGGTGCTGCGCACCCCCCCTGGGTCTTGTCTTAGGTCGGGCATGTCCCTCTACATGAGGGATATCCCAAAAGAGTCCAAAAATAATGTGGGGACGATGTTTCTTTTATTTTTGGCAATGTTTGGAATGTGTTTTGACTATGTTTGAGTTTTCCCCCAAAATCCCCCTGCGGGTGGATATGCCCACAAAGCGGATGTCGTTCGGAGCACAATGGGATGGGCCCGGATTGTCTTGGAGAGTTTCCTTCTGGACTTCGAAGAGAATTTCGTGTGGATTGCGTTTGCCCGGGAATGAAGACTGAAAATCCACGTGAACGCCGTTGCGGGGTTTTGCATCGGCAGAAATCCTTGCAAAAATCCGCTTCAGCACGTCTGCAAGGTCGGTGCAGTGAGGCTTGCCCAGGGACCCGTTTTCATGGTTCTGGTGACTGCCCCGGGGCCCGCAGCATCCCCAGAACCCCGCTGCCCAGAGGAGCAGCGGCGGCATAGGCATGCGGCATGAGCACGAGTTTTTGGAGCTCCGCGCCAAGCTCATGGATCGGCGCTGAGCGCGCCTCCTTGGCGCGCGGGGCCCTCCAGGCGCGCGGCGCCGGAGGCGCGCCGCGAGACCCACCGTGCTTCCCCAGCGCAGTGCGGGCGGCAACCTGCCACGCCTCCCCCCCACCCCCCTCGAGTTCGGGGTCTGGAGGGCCCTGCTCGCCAACATTTTGGGCCTCTGGCGCCTGGGGTGCCCTGCGGATTGTTTCTCGCGGGGCTGTACCTAAACAGTGTTTTGGCGTTTTCGTGGGCCGTTTTCGGTTCGACTTCGTTTTGCGGTAAAGGCGGATTGAAGACAAAACGAGAGAAAACGAAAACAAAACGAAAACGAACAACACCGTTTAGGTTCAGCCCTGGTCTCTCGGTCTGCGGGCCCTGGGTGATTCGACCCCCGCCTTGCCGGGGCCAGTTTCCCCCCTGGCCGCTGGCTCACGGGTCCGCGGCCGAGCTAGTTCCGAATGATCTCTGGCTGCGGGGGCTTTGCGCACGCAGGCGGACGCGAGCAGCACGTGAAGAAGTGCCTCCGGAGATGCGCCACGGTGGCCCCTGGCACGCTGAGGCATGGCAGAGTGCCCAGTGCTGTCTGGTAGGGCTTCTGCAATCTTCTTTCTTGGCCACCCTCTCTTCACACCTGCCTGCGCCTCTCTGGGGCTTTCCGAAGCATCCTGGATTCCAAATATGGTGGCTTCCTGGACGGCCCAGGGCCGCCAACATGGTCTGAGATGAGTCCAGCGCGGCCCGTGCCAGGATGGCCCCAACACAACCCGAGATGGCCCCAATATGGCGCAAGAGGCCCCGAGACAGCGCACGTGGGCTCCACGAGGACCACGAGTGGGGCCCGAGTAACGCGATATCGTTGATTGCACCGCTGTGTTTAGAAGATTTGCACTCTGACACCTGTTCGGGCTTCCGTCAGCTCTGGACGCCCCAAGACGCTTTCACGATTCAGATGGTTCCAATGGGCCCCAAGCTGGCCCAGGAGGCCTCCAAGACGGGGGGGGGGCCAAAAGACCCGCAAGACAGCCCAAGACGGCCGCAAAGGGGTCCCAAGATGGCCCAGCGAGGCAAGACGCCCCCAATGCCTCGAGAAAACAGGACGGAAGAGGAGGAAGGGAGGAAGACGACGACGTAACCGTGGAGAGACACACCGACACGAAGGAGAAATGTGTGTGTGTGTGTGACATTTTCCTACTCCCCCAGGCCTCGGGCACGAGGTGTCGCACATTACGGCTTCTTGTGCGCTCCTCTAGCAGCCGCCGCCCAGAGAGTTGGGCTGGCACGGTGGCATGACGTGCCGCAGCCAGCTGGACATCTTGGACTGTCCTGACCACAGCTTTCAGAGGATTTCAGCCGTTGCTATGGGGCCACACGTGGAGGCACAATGAGTATGTACCCAGCAATCTGGTCCTCGATCTTTCGACAGCGGCGACAATGGATGCAGGGCGGGCGTTGAGGTCGCGGATGAGCTCGCAGCTAGAGGCCAGGACGCGTCCCCCCCATCTTGGGGGCCAGCTCGTCGTCCAAATTCGCTATGTGATAGCCCTGGTGCCAATCAAAGGGGCTCCAGGCAGCGGAGGTGGGGACCAACATACGGCCTCAATGGACTCAAAGCGTTGGATGTCTGGGGCTCGGGCCTCGAAGAGTCGACCCCTGGATCATTCCTGGGGGGAGCTGCGACCACAAGCACGCTCTGAGGCGGACCCAGCCGTGGCGACGAGCGGCTTGCCGCTCGGTGCCGGTGATCCTCAGGGCGCGCGTTAGCCCAGTATATGTGTGTGTGTGTGTTGACTGGTGAGCTCCATCGCCACGGTGCCCTTGCGTCCTTGCCTCCTCGCTCCGTCCTTCGCATCTTGCGTGGCCCGCGCCCCGCTCGAAAAGCTTCGACACGGGCGTCCAAGGACTCTAAAGCGAGCTGGGGGACGTAAGGAGTGGAAACGAGCGTGCGCCCGCGGCCGCGTTGGCTCAAGCGGCCGGCCGCCCAGTTGTGACTGTGCCTCACCGCGAGGCACACAATCGCTATCGAGACCAAAAAGATCTCCCTATTGCTTGGGATGGCATCCCTTCTCATACTGGGACTATCGTTGCTACGGTACAACAGAGTGGGAGCTTGGCTTCGCCTGAAGCGAAGCTGTTGGTTGGGCCTTCCACCCCCCTCAAAAGTGGTAGCGGAGCTGGCCTATGGTGGTCAGTTCAGGCTCTACTCCTCACCATCCACGGCACTATCTGGTAGACGACGGACATGGTGGAACATCAGGGTGCAGTGGGATTGCGCGGAGGAGTGTATATAACTACGCAGTACCGCAAGGAAACTTGCAGCGATACCTCTGTTCAAGCGGAGGCCTCTTAGTACCCACGTCCTACATCCCTGCGCTATTACACTCCTGACGTCCACCCACCTACTCCAAGTGGAAATTTCTTCGAATACATAATGCATGGAAACATGCGGTACGATTTACTGCCGCTTCCGACCCCGCGCAAACATACGACGACAAAGCATAAGTCCCCACCGACTACATCCGACTACGACCTACGAGGCCATTGGATTGGGGTTACTATCTTTGGGCTCGTATGGGTCGCTCTTGGTTGTGCGGTAGGACATATGCGGTGCGGAGACGACACTAGAACGACTGGCCTCCATTGGGATCTTGCCGGTCAAGTACCATTTCGCGAGTTCGTCCGCGAAGTACATGCCTGGATCACTGTGACCACAGGCAAGACGGACGCCCTCCCAGCAGGCCGCCGCACTGCAGCGCGGTTTGGGAGGGCTCGCGCGGACCATAACCATGAGAGTCCCCCCAGTAGTCATCAATTTTGGCGTCAATATAGGCGGTCGCCACACTGACGGCGTCACCTACATTATGTTCCTCTTAAGTACGAAGTTCGAGAACCTGGAAGAGGAGCGCCAACTCAACTCTGGCACGGCTCCCATTGACTTTCGAGTTCATGCGGGTAAACGTATCGTCCAGACGTTAGCACAGTTCGAAGTAGCCCGCTACGAAACTGAAACCGCCGGGTCCAAAATCCCCAACTTCCAAATATAAGCAGTAATTATATTCAGAGCTCTTGGAATGGGGGCGTCGCGTGCGCAACAACTCTTGCAGCCTCTGAGCCACCACATGCCGAGGGACCAACCACAATTTGACGTTCTACTTGAACGTGTGAGGTCATATGCTCACATAGCTGAGGGGGGCCCTGGCAATATTGGTGGGATCTTTAGCCACGGTCATCGATGCGAGACTTCCCACGCAGAGGCCAACGCACCGCAACCTGCTAACAACTTCTGGAACGACGATACACCGCCAAGTGAGACCACTACACCGCTGGCTCAGAATGGTGGAGCGGCTTCGGGGTCGCAAGGCCCCGGGCCCTGATCTGGGGGGCCGCCCGACGCGGCTTCCCTCGCGCAAGCTATGGCCCTAATGGGCTCAGCGGGGCAACCCGCCGAGTCCGACTTCGACTCCGGTACCGATGCGGATACGTCTCCCGATGATGAAACTATTTCCTTGGATTACTCTGATGTGCCGACATACCATGCGGGGGAGCACCGAGCTCAATGTTTTTTCTGTGTTATCAAAAACACAAGCGTCGTTGGCGGAGGTTCATGAAGATACCAGTCCGAAGGGCCATACGCCTTGCACGACGGTCAATTAATGGAAAAGGCAAGGGCCGAAGTAAAGGCAAAGGTATGCGTCTGCGACTACATGGTAGAGGCATACTAGCATTCCTAGCGTCTCTCACTGGACCGCAGCATGAGGAAATGTCTTTAGGTACTGGCAGAAACGGCAGGCATACATCAGGTAAAGGTAAATGACGACGAGGAAACCCACATGATGCCAACGGCAAGACCATGGAGTGCGACATATGTCACAGCACACAGCATTTCCGACGCGAGTGTCCCCAAGGTGATAGAAGAGGCAAGGGTCCGTCAATACATCTGACTCAAACGGACTCCGACATACAGCATGTTGATTGGGGGTCGCTGCTTGCCGACCCTGCCGGCGGCTCAGCCACGATTGTTCATTTCATGGCTGCCGGGTATCTAAGTGCCATCGTGGCCCACGAGAGTTGCGCCGACGAGCTGTTCGAGGAGGTGTTCACTTGCCGCGACGACGTCGACTTGGCAGAGTGGCTGGGTGCACCCATCGCGGGGCAACCTGCTGATATTGAGTTTGTCGAGACCTTCCGCGTGCCCGTCGAAGGTGACTTCGGCGCGGCGGGGGCACCTGCGGACTCAGATTCTACCACCCCTGCAACAGAGGAGGAAATCCATGCAATGCTCTATCATCGGGCGATTGGAAATCCGACAAACGCGGAATTCATCGATGGTGATCCACTGCGGGGA